TCCGTATTCCTCGAGGAAGTGGATGGAGCCGTCACTGTAGCATATTTAAAAGGGGTTGAGATTGGTTTCCAGGTCGTTGCCCAAAATTCTACACCCCACCTATGATCTATATCAGTACTGCGCGGTCCTGACTGTTCGTCAATTATTGGTACTGCATACCATTCTAAAACAGCATTCTTATACCGATCTCGGGCTAGTCTCACGTCGAAATCGTCTTGTGGTCCCATGCTCTCAGCGCGAGTCTTCCTTTGCTAAAAGTTTCTTCTATTTTGTCATAATATATTGCAATCAACGAAAAATAAATGTAAAAAAATAATATTTAATTATTTATATGCATTAAAATATAACGAGACTAAAGATCTTCTGCATCCTTGCACATATATATCTTATTTTTTGGAAAACGAAACCCATTGCAGTAATTGAGATTTTTGTCATGTTAAAATAAATAAATATTTCCAACACTCACACCAATCCTTTATCAAGTAAGCACTATAAGGGCCTGTGTTATGGGATACTAGGGTAACCGGATAAAATACGTATGCTGTACATATATAAATATATTTTTACATAAATACATATAAAACATCCACGACTGGAGTACAAATGCTCGTATTCATCACACTAACATCTGCCCCCATCGGGATTTGAACCCAGGACCTCTCGAGTCGGCACCATGAAACCACATGTACAAATCACTCGGCCACGGACGTCGTCAAATAAAAACTATGATATTGATACTTATCATATTCCTGTCTCGTTGCCAAAACATAAGCATAAAATTTCTGTCGTTTTAGATTTGTGTATGCTAGATTCCTGCAATTTTTGTTACATTTCTATATATGATTGTTATATTGAGTGAATGCCAAACAAATAAGCTCGTGAAGTGAGTTGTCGATTACGGAAGATGCTGGAATAACAAACTTTAATTTAAACATATTTCCTGCATTATTTTTTTCCCTGACCTTTTGAAAATATACTTTTCGACAATTAATTTTAATATATATAAGATGGATGTGAAAGTTTGTATGTTTATTACTCAATCACGCAGAAACTACTGAACGGATGAAATTTGGTACGCGTATAGTTTATGACCTAAAATGATACATGATATTATTTTTCCCGGAAAAATGTTTAATTCCTGAGGGATTATTAATAAGTAAAGCCTTTTGTAACAATACCAGTGCATAATCAACGTATGTGATTTTACTTTGAGCTAAATCTCTACGGATAAACGAGTCAGACATGACTACAGTGTGGGTAGAGAACAGAGGGCTATTGTTATTATAAAGGATTTCCCAACTTCGAGTTGCTTTAAGCTGTTAGCACTTCAGTGGATTTACTCATACTTAAAAATTAAACTTGTGCCTCGAACTTGAAGGCTTAATACTAGGAAACCGATAGACGATAATTTATTATAGATATTATGACGACCTCGAGATTCGAGTGGTATATTTTTCAAGTCGTCTCTCCTCGCCTAGTCTGAGGATCCGGGTACGAATCCCGGTGGGGCAAATGTTTGTGTGATAAATACGAGCATTTGTACCTAAGTTATGGATTATACGTATTTCTAAGATAAGAATATACTTATATATGTATCAGTATATGTATTTAATCCGTAACCCTAGTATCCCATAACACAAGCCTTACAGTGCTTACGTTAGTGGTCAAGCAATGGTCTCAATCCAGGTATATTTGTGCTAAATTTAATTTAAATCAATGGATTTGGCGGCTTATTGAAGCATTTTTTTTTGCATTTTTGCAAACAAACAACATTCAGATTGAGAAATAGAATTCCAGTAGATCCAGTCCAAATCCGTTCAGCTGTTTTGCCTGATTGAGTAAACGTCCAAACTTTCACAGTTTTAATATTAGTAGGATAACCATCGATTCGCACCAGCAGGTGGTATATTTTCTTAATACGCAACTAAGAAAGTTGACATCATCACTGCTTTCGCGTCTATGTTTAGATTTATACAAAAAGTTCTAGGTAGGACGGCGATGGGAACATTATCGATCGTGTAAACAAACACCAAAATTGAATAACAATGTCACAAGAGTCAAATTAGGTTGTAGTGCCACGTATTGCCGTTACGGCTGGCGGGCCCTCTTCATATCCGGTGAGTTAGCCCAAGGCGAGCTCATTTAATGAGGGCGGCGCCCGCAAATGCCGTTTTTGCTGCGACGGACGCGACGTCGTAGTAGAAATTAGTTTTCAACATAAACTCACTTAAAAATAAAAGACGTTAGTGTTCGTCACTAATATCGATTATTACGTAGGTATTTTACTAAAATAACATTTAATTTGATGAGTAGAAGCAAGACACTGCTTTATTACCAAGAAAGGCCAAGTATATTTTTCGTTTATTAAAATTATGCTTCCTATCCTCATGGGTACTCGTATTTGCCATATTTAAGTAGACTGGGCAAAAATCGGTTATGAGCACAGTGCCACGGTAATATTACGTGAGAGTGCCTGGAGGAAGATGCCACTTCTACAAAAATTCCTAACATGTCAATAGAATAAGAAACAGATTCGTCTACAAATCGAAATGCCTAAAATGCACTATGTCTCTTTAATGCCTAATGCGTAAGTCAGTTTGGAAACTTTTGTTGTAAAGGATTGTTGTAATTCGTTACTAGCGCTTGAAAATTATAAGATAGTCATTTTGTTCTTATGCTCAGTGTTTAGTTTAAAAAAATGTATTTTTAAGGAGTGATTTAGTTTATTTTTATGGAAAAGTTTTTTTTTATTTTAATTATACAGTTTTTATTTTTAATATTTGGGTGATTCCTGGAACCCATGATTTTAAGGGTCACATTGAAATATTAACTGGAGTAGTAGACCAACTTGAATAAAGTACCACTCCAAACTTTACTTAACTATTGTAGTGTTGAGGTCAATTGATAAAACATAATATTTAATTAAAGAAATTGGCTAAATATCCATTTGAAACTGAAAAACGCGGTAATTTCACTAGATTTTTCCGTGTCACACGCGCGACTCTTGCTATGTTATAGTGAATATTTTTTTTACGCTCAAGGTTATACATGAATACATACTTTTTTAAATACATAAAGAGTTATTCTATTAGATCATGAATAAACTGTTCTAAAATAATCAAAGTCTAGTATACCTTTATTCGTTCAAATACATGTCACGCGGCGGGCATAATTTCAATCTCGCGGCGAAACTATGACAATTTATTTAGTGGATTACGCGGTAATCGTCTTGCGATTGGTCCAAAAGATCGCTTGTTGACCGGTAGTGTTCAGCGCCAAAAATTTTAGCTAAGTTCTTTGACTTCTGCAAATGTTTGTCCAACGGGGTAGGCATAACTCGTGGCTCGTTTTGCTGTTAAATTGAGAATAGTTTCACTTAACTGGTCTTTGATTAATAATACGTATATCCCTGTGTAGGCACTGGAGTACAAATAAATAAGATTTTATTTATAGTTTAACAGTAATACCTTCATATTTGAATTATGGTCAGATTCGTGGTCGTTAGATCCGTGGATTTAAGCCATGGATCTGATTTATCGACCATGGATCTGACCACATAATATTATAGCTTCACTGCCTCCGTGGTGTAACGGTTAGAGCGTTGGACTCCCAACCTGAAGGTCGTGGGTTCGAATTCCGCGCGGACCAACATAATATCTCCTGCGTAGCTGGTTAATCTCGTTGAGATTAGCCGCTGTGGTAGAAATCGACCAGGAGGCCTAATTTTTACAGCTTCAATCATTTTCTTTCAGTTTTAATTGCTGTGGGTACCTACCCAGTGTTTATTTATTGATTTTTTAATATTTTATATGCCATGGATGTAAAATAATACAAAAAAATAAAACTTCTGATTTCTTCTGCTATAATGATGTTTTATTTATGATTTTCTTTATTGCAGCATTCTAACAGGCGATTCTAACGCGACGCCATTACTTGATTCATATCGTGATGCCCTTGGTCAGATCCGTGGCGAGCCAAAATATTTTCTTTTTTTTTCAAGAATCTATAAGGTCTACGTGTGTGCCTCATCTACAGAATGACTTGTTTTTCAGCCCTCTTTAGCCATATAATTTTAGTTATTTCTAATAATGAAATAAAATAAAAGCCACTTTGACAAGCCATTTTGACGATTGGCAGTAAACATTGTAGTCACGATATATTGTAGGCAATCTTCTTCTTAGTCAATTAGCGTTTTAGGTGTTATTGGAGTAGTGGCATCTTGCATTTCAAGCACTGTGCTCATAACCGGCAAAATCGAGCCAATATTTACAAAGCTTATTCTTATTCAGTAAAAGTACATAAATAATACGCATGTTATGGATAATGGAGATTTTCACTCTAATTTATTTAAGTATGATTTTACAAAGGCGGAATCAGAAAATAAAAAAAAAATATTTACATTTGATTTATCGAGTCCTCATTTTAGTGAAACAAAAACTAAAGTGACAGTATTTTGGAAATACATTTCATTATAACAAATCTGAATTTTCAACTAGTAAATGTATCATAAATAAATGGTGTTTTCACAAACGAAATAATATATTGAATGAGGTATAAACTAATAACATCCCTCGTCAAGCTCCAAATCACAGACATCGAGGCATTGGAAGCTCGCTCTCAATCAGATGTAAATAAGGAACCAACATCAATTATCGTTTGAGAACTAGCTTTGCAATATTCAGAGGTAGGTAACTCGGTTATATCAATACAACAGTTATGCCACTTTGCAAGCGATGTAAATTGGTCTATTGTCTAGGAATAATTAACAGCAAACTATCAATATTATTTGTAGAAGATAGCACCAATCATTGGATGTAGATATATCTTTAGGTACGTAGTTTAAACCAGGGTTAATTGCATGATAACAGTGGTTATTATTGAATGTTGAATAAACTCGAGCAAGATAGAACACCACTAATGACAATTAAGTTTATGTCCTAAACGAAAACAATTTCACTTGATTATTTTATTCGTAAAAACGAGATTTTTTTCAAAGTTAAATGAGTGGCAAACAAGCCTATGGCTCGCCGGATGGTAAGCGGCCACCATAGCCTAGGTATAGACGCTTGTGCTACCAAAAATATCACTCGTACAGTTGCCTACCCTGACTCATTTCCCTACCCCGTCGAGCCCTGAAACCTTACTACTTAGACCTTACCGACAAAAACACAACACCGCGAGTTAATTTACTGCGATATTCTGTAAGGTGGAGGTTACTACCTCAGACGGGAGCTCCAATTCGATCTGAATATAATAATTAATGATGACTAGGAAATTTTTATATAGGACCTTTTTTATTTATAGTATTTGTCTTTTTTTTGTCGTTATAGTAGCAAAACAAAACCATATTCTGCAAATATTTCAACTTTCTACCCTATAACTCCTGAAGTGATGTTTTTTTTTTATACTTTATCCTGAATATTAAATCTGAGCATAATTCAATTAATGTAATTATACTAGCTGCCCCAGCGAACTTCGAACCGCCATAAAAAATAGGGGTTGGTGGTAGAAGGGTGAAAATTTAGGGCTGTATGTATTTTTGTATGATGTATCATAAAAAAACCGGCCAAGTGCGAGTCTTACTCGCCCACCGAGGGTGTTCCGTACAAACTCAATTTAATACCTCTACGCGTTCATGAGAAAGGAGGAAGTATTTTTAAAATTATCAAAAATATTTTTTTGTTACATGATGTAACTAAAAATGTACGGTTTTCGCAATTTTTCCTTTATCTGTACTAGAAGACGTTACTTCATACCTTTCAAGATTCTAAGTTCACGGGAAGTACCGTGTAGGTTTTGATTCCCGTGCGAGTTTCGAAAATTTGCGGCTGTATCTTTTGATTGCTTTGACTTAGAAATTTGATTTTTTCACAGCTCCAAGGGACAGTAGACATGAGTATTAGATATTAATTTCAGTTTGATACCTCCACGCGTTTCTGAGCCAAAAGGTCTTGATGACGGACGGACCGACGGACGGACGGTCGGACAATAAAGTGAGTTCCGTTTTTTCCTTTTGAGGTAAGGAACCCTAAAAATAATAACTAGAAATTTTGGCAAAAAATACTAAGGGTGGAACTTAACATTTTATTAGGGGGATGAAAAATAGTGACCGATTCTCAGGCTTACTGAATATGCATATAAAATTTTAGGAACTTCGGTCGAGCCGTTTCGGAGTAGTTCAATTACGCACACCGTGACACGAGAATTTTATATATTAGATAGGTATGTGTGTCAAACTCATCAGTGTGGATAAAAAGTTAACAAAACAATTAACTATTATGATACCACCACCGTTAATCAATCATACATACTTGCCCACCTTGTATAAGCGATAACTTTAAAACACGATTTTCTGATATTGCTAACAAGAAGTAAATAAATTTATAATATTAATAAACTTTTCAACTTCTCATTAAACGTGTTTTTACACCTTTACAATCAATCTTATTTTTAAAGGTTTAATCCTATCCTATTTCAGACCTGCACTTGGCCAGTAGATATTTTATTTCCACCACCAAAGAAAGTTTTAAATATATAAATTTGAATATTTTGTTAATTTATTTTTTCATACATTGCCTACCATGTTACTTTACCGTGAAACTCAACAATGTCCAGACGCAAAAGATAGCTGAAGTGTTGGAGTTTAAGAGAAAAGTAGATTTGTGCACGATTACAACAATAATTTTACTTATTGTCAATTTGTCTTATTTAATTTTCTTAGTTAAGTAAGGCTGCACGCTTGTATTGGAGAAAATATAATCACGTTTTATTCTCAATAACAGTATACGTAACAAACATGAAATATTGACGCAAACGGAGAAGTTACGTTATGATATATTATGGGCTTTGGGATTACCAGCTGTCGGTTCAAACATATTTTAACTTTCCAATGTTTGCCACGATTTAGCCAAAAAGGAAAAAAATATATCCATCATTCGTTTGTATATTCCGCCCTATATTTTATTACTCTTTTATTTATTTCGATGAATAGAATGAATTAAATAAAACTCTCTTTGGAATTGATACCAAAAATCATCTTATGCCAATAAAAATAAAAAAACCTCCTTATTATGACGGTACAATAGGTCTCTAAAGTGTAATGTTATTAAAAACAAAATTAAGCAAGTTACCTAATTACAAGAATGGTATATAAATTACGACAATGCTGGTAAAACAAAATCTGATAAGGAATAAAAATCCTACAAAGCAATCTTGTAGAACCGAATATCATGACACCTACACAGAGGAACGCGTGGTATTGTCCTCGTTATTAAACTGTATGTGAATACGATAGGGTATATAATCGCTTAGCATCTGTGATATTAAGTATCGTAGTTATCCTTAGAGGTTGGAGTAAAATGATTTGCGGCGTACATCGTCTCTGGGGTGAAACTCGATAAAACGGTCCAAAGAATGAAATCGAATCCGAACAGTAAAGCGATTTTCTGTTTAGAAATAACCACTTGTGCGGCGAACGTGATATCGCGTAGTTATTTATTCTTTGGTAAACATTTTATTTAGAAGCACTATTGTGAGGTATATGCTCAAGATAAATATCAATATTTTTCGTTGTTGGTAATTTAAGAAGCACTATTGTGAGGTATATGCTCAAGATATATATTAATATTTTTTGTTGTTGGTAATAGGGATGATTATCCAAAAATAATGAAGACGAATTTGTCCCTTTATTACTTACATAAAAAAATACAGAGATATATTGATTTGGTATTGTAGCCCGAATTGTATGCGCAACTGCAAAAAATAATACGGGAGACCTTAGATTTTTGCCCATTTTGTAGCTTAGTACAAATTATTTTTTAAAACATCTAAAATTATACTTATCTCACTCATTAAAATCTCAATATATTAAAAAATATTGCTGAAATCTGAATTAAAATAGGGAATCTGCGTATAAGGGACATTAGTACTAAGTCGCCATTTTTCATTGGCTGACAGATGACAGCTAATACTATTGGTTTAAATTCATTTCTTTGATTGTGATTGGTTGTAACAAAAATCACGTGATATCCGTAGCTAATTGATTGGAAATATGTTATATTTACTATAATATATTATGTGTTGCCATAAATTTTAATGTTTGAAATTGTTAATGTTTTAGAGACATTTTTATGTGGATATTAAAATCCATTTATAGTTTTGATGGATTCGACGTATTTTTATACTCATAAATGCATGATAATAACTTGAGGTACAAAATTGGGCAGTGTTATATGGAGAAAAGAAAATGAGGATCTGGCGAACAAAACGGTATAATTAGAGATGTGAAAAATAGTTTAGTTAAAGTATTTAAAAGTTTAATATATTGCAAATGCATAGTTGTTAGCACTATTTCAAATAGAAATACAAAAAAGTTTCAAATAAAAGTATTTAAATACAAAATGCAAAATACGTATTTTCAAAATAGGTTTTGAAAATAAATACCTTGTTATGCATAAGCACTTATTTTTATTAACCTAATTTTAAAACTAGTATTTGTTCAAAGAGTTCATCTTTCATATTCCTCCTCCATGGCCTCATAATCATTCCACCAAAAGAAAATAGTCGTTCAACAGGGGCAAAACTCGGTAAGCAGGTATTATATATTTAAGGAAGAGTTTTTTACTCTTGGTTAGCTGTTCAAGGATTCTAAGGTATTGTCTTCATCGTTTAAATATTATAGTGTTTCCAGATCTATTGTAGTAGTATTAACATTATCACTGGCTGCTGAAGAATCAGAGACGTCAACAAACATAAAATAAGGTTCTGTCATTTCATTCTTTTTATCAGAGTGACTCTGGGTGCCAAAATTACCTCACCAAAATGGGGTATTTGCTTAGATTAAAACAAAAAGGGTAGATACGGCACTAGCCTCACAAAAGTGATCCGCATGAATTGTGGTCCACGACCCTACTCGCTTTAGTCACAACTTGACATGCAAACGACGCACATGTGAACGCCAAAAAGAAATATTGCTAATATTTTGTGTTTATATGATAAAACAATGCCTAAGTGTGTTTTTAAAAAGTGCTCAAATTGCTCAAGAACTTAAAATAAAACCCACGGCATCACTTTTCATTCGTAAGTACTATAAAATATATTTTTTCATAAAAATTGTTGTTTGTTTTGAATCTTATTCGGTAGTGACGTCGAGTAGTGGTCACGTGATTGGTCGGTAGTGCAGTGACGCGGATCTCGCCGTCTCGTTCGCGCTGCCGTTGAAACTTAACGTGCTGTTTCGTTCGGGTCGGTAATGCAGTGACGCGGATCTCATCGTCCCGTTCGCGCTGCCGTGGGATCAGTTTTTGTTTGATGCAAGTATGAACGTACCGTATCTACCCTTTTTGTTTTAATCTAAGGGTATTTGGCAAAATTAAAAATTATGGTCATCCTATAAGATAATGGCGTAATTACACATATTTGACTTTATTTTAAACGATGAATAATGACGACGAATAATGTATGTTTTTTGCAGATTACACAAAATAAAATTACATATTACTATTTACATATTATTATTTTTTTATTTATTATTATATTATTATTTTCTAATTCATATTATTATAATATACTTAATATATCCATATTAGAAAATATAGTAACAATAGGGTTATTATCGAAAAATGTTCTAAGTTTAAAATAAATACGAAGGAGATAGCATTTAAACAATTCCTTAAAACGAAGGAGGTTTTATTAGCTGGTAACCCTAATTTCACACCCACACCCTCATGTCAATGTCATTCATGTGCCATAAAAGTCTTTGAAGACTGTAGTTGACAATGACAACACTACGATCACGATCAGTACCCCTAGCACGAACCAATATCGAATTCGTATCGTTTGCGAGTCCGAAATGTCATTGTCAAATGTGTACTGATTTTTAGTTCCCGTTACATACTTTGTGGCGCTGCGCTGCTGTTCAAGTTTCCATACAAAATTTGACATAGACATTTCGGTTTGCAAACTATTCGAATTCGATAATGGTTTGTGCAAGGGGTACAGTGCGTTCATAAATAAGGTAATCTATCTTGGATTTAATAATGAAAAATAGGAAAAATCAATTAAAAATGTAACAAAACTATTTTGTATTTTATAAATACTAAACATTTATATAAAGTATTTCAAATAAAATACAAAATACATTTAGAAAAAGTATTTCAAATATAAAATAAAAATAGGTATTTTATATTTGCATTTCAAATATATGTATTTCAAATAATTCACATCTCTGGGTATAATTACGCATCTGGTCAAACTACTTTTTTTTACAGTCCGTTACAGGCCCGTTGAATTTGACACTCAAATAATTTTCAATCAAAACCACCTAAAACAGTGTTAAAATTACTAAAATAAATTAAAGGCTATGCCAAAACATCACTGAAGGTATGTCATTCAGTTTTATACAGCTCGGCTCCTGTAAAATTTAATTTTATGTTATTATACCGTTTTGTTCGCCAGCTGCTAAAATATCTTTTATAATGCAGTTGAAAAAATCTAACGCCGTCTTGTCCATTTTGTGATATGCCAATGCCATTAAGGGTTTGGAGGCACCTCAATAAAATAAGTTCTTTTTACAATTTGAAGTAGGTGTGCGTCCCACATCCCGCTTTTTGGTAAATTATTTAATACTTTTCAAGTTCACGAGATTTATTCAAGATTTCATATTGTTGATTCCTAATAGAGCTCCGTTAATTACAGTCGGAGCAGAAAGGATTATTTACATGGATTTATACAATTTTGTATTTCACAGGCCATGTGGCGGCCTTATATAAAGCGACCGTTTTTATAATTGGTGTTATAATGGAAGTTATAACCATCAATTATCCATAAACAGTTAACCTTGCTGTCTTCAACGCCTCCGACAGGTATAGGGTTACTATTTAAAAAATTGAAAAATCCTGACAAAAAGCCGGAAAGGATTTTAGTCACAAAATGCAAACATCGCCCACTTAGTTACAGTGATATTATACGCGTGGTAGCAGACGCTCGCTCGTATCACGAGGGGGGTCTCGTTGTTGATTTCTAAAGACAATTTAAATTTTGTTTTAAATGAATGAGAACTTAATAAAGATTATTTGATTTATTTGATATAATTTAATAAGTGGTTTTACTCATATTCCATCTAATTAAAAAAATCCGGACAAATTAAAAATCCGGACTAAGTCCGGAGAAAAAGCAATAAGTCCTTGTCTTGGACTTGTCCGGACTAATCCGGATGGATGGTAACCCTAGACATTTATTTATAACTATTTAATTCAATCATTATAATATAATACAAGAAAATAATTTTAACCATATATACAGGGCGTCCCACGGCTACCTCACACGGAGGGAAAGTATATTAAACATTGAAGATAGGATATTTTACTGAAAGAAGACATCATTTTATTTTGAATAATTACTAGAGCTGCATTCATAGATTTTTTTAATATCGCCTGCTACAACTGGGAATCGAACTCGTGAAATTTCGAAAAAAAACATGTCATATTTTATGATAGCCATCGAAAGGGTTAATCATAAGGTTTATTTTTTGCTAAATAACATAGCATTTAAATGAAAGGAATGTCTTATTACGTGATAAAAATAATAAAGTGATATAGTGATACTGTAGTACCTACGTATGCATTTCTTTTTGAACTCACAGTTACAATGCGATTGGCTGAAATTTATAAAAATACTAATTCGAAAATGGAACACAAACATTTTCGAAGACGCCCTGTATATAACTTTAACCTTTTTAATCATATACCTTGGTATATGATAATCCTTCCAGAGAAAAAAATGATATATAAAAAAAAGGGTTTTTCAATTACTTGTAATTTGCACATAAACACTTTTTAATGTAATAAAACTAATTTATCGTTTAGATGAAATTAATTTGTTTTATTAAAATAACGTTCTTCATTAAATTTATAAACACTTTTCCATTTATATTTTGGTAATAGAAACCAAGTTATTTAACATTAATTCGGCAAAGCTGGTGTCAGGACACACCAGAGTGATAAATTTTTGGTAGTTGCGATTTTTTTAAATGTACTTATAATAAAGTTAGGCACTATTATGTATATGTCCAAGGTATGCTGCATGCCAAACTACAGTAAACAATATTTTCAATTACAAATTTATTTTACAGTTAGAAACCTAGTTTCTCCAAGCAAACGCATTTTTTTTCGTTTGGAGAAGTAGCCATTTATAACTTCAATAAATTTTTAGACATATCTCAATTGCCATTACAAGCTATTAAATATTAAGGGACGTACTGTGTAATTTTCTCTTGTGGGGATTAGAAATCGACTTTTAGTAATTAATCTCTTAAGAGGATAGACCTGAGCACTGTGCTGACCTGAATGTGGGTCATTATATGTGGGCCTAACATAAGAACAAGTAATAATTAATTCGGTTTATTTTTCATCACAATAGTGTTTCCAATCGAAGTTTGTAATAATAATACTACTGAGTAACAAAACAATTGAATTATTGACGTCATTTAAATTAAACATTATTTTTTGTGTGCAGAACCACGGAGCGCCGAGTACGCCGAGCTGCGCAATAGACCGCTCTCAGAGCGGTCGGCGGCCGACACCGAGGCGGCGCACGAGCTCCTCTCCCTCGCACACAGCCTGCCCCCCCTCCCCCCCGCTGTCGTCACCGTCCTCCACCCGCCCGAGCCCGCGCCCCTCGTCCCTCTCTACACCTACACCATCCAGCCCACCAACATCTACATCCTTTCCGAGGAGCCGCCCGAGCCGATCTTTCATACTGTCCAAACTGTCACACCGTTGCAACCAGTCGAGTACACCGTCGAGCCACAGGTCAACTACGTCGCGTATCAACAGCTACCTCCTGAACAATTCCAACCGCAAAACGAATACAAACAAACCGTTTACAAAGAACCCGAGTATGGAGAACCGGAGCCGCAGCCGCAGGACATCGAAACGGATCAGGAAACGGAGCTCGTCGTCGCCGACGAACCCGAAGTGGAGGGTTTGCCACCGACGAAAGAGAAGACGGGAAAATATGACTGCAACGAATGCGGGAAGAGGTACGCTACCTCATCCAATCTTTCGCGCCACAAGCAGACGCATCGCAGTTTGGACTCGCAGGCGGCGAAGCGCTGCGGCGAATGCGGGAAAGCTTACGTTTCGATGCCTGCGCTTGCAATGCACGTGCTCACTCATCGTATGGGCCACGTGTGCGGCGTATGTGGCAAACAGTTTTCCCGGCCGTGGCTGCTGCGTGGCCACCTGCGCTCCCACACCGGAGAGAAACCTTACAGCTGCGCCTCCTGCGGAAAGGCCTTCGCAGACCGGTCCAACCTGCGCGCACACCTGCAGACACACTCTTCAGACAAGAAATACGAGTGTCCGCGTTGCCAGAAAACGTTCGCGCTCAAGAGCTACCTGAACAAGCACCAAGAATCGGCGTGCGTGCGCTCTGACGACGAGTAATGCGCCTCCGAAACGATTGCAACGAACGATTTCTCTATGAACTTCTTTACACCTTTATATATGACGAGATTTTTTTATAGTATAGGATCTCGTTATATCGACGGCGTTGGAAATAATAAGCAATAATAATGTACCTAATTATATAGTTATGGCTCTTACCATAATTATTAAAAGGATAAAAAAAACAAATTAAAAATAATAAATCGTATTTTTTCAATTATAAGACCCGCATCGACGGATGTAATCAAGTCAATTTATGGCAAGAGCCTGCAATGTTGAAGCGTAGCTTAATGTTTTATTTAGTATAATTAGGTAAGTTAGCGTCGCACGTGCGGTGTGTGACGATATTAGATAGTAGTTACGGTGATACGTAGAGACTTATTGAAACCGTCGAGCTGTGGTACAAAGAGAGCAATAAAGTAACGAGTGTAGAGTGACAGTGATAGTAGCACGAGTAGCGTGCGACGCGTAGTGTAAGCGTTTAGCAAACAACCACAAATCGAAAGTGGTGGTCGGTGCAGCCAGTTTTTATCAAAGAGGAGTGAATAAAGTGTTTCTCAGCAGTCAAATTATACAGTCTCTATAGCTGCACTCTCCAGCACCTAAAGGCGGTTTTGCTCGTGTTACGCCATGCGGATAGTGCGGGAGACGATTTAGCCACTTGCGCAGTGGCAGCATCGCAGATCTGCATAATTAATCTGCGTGTTGTCCCGTGTCTTATATCCAAACAAAAAAAGACTTGTTGTTTGTTAACTTCTTACTTTTGAACAATAAAGAACTTACTCTGGGTTGACGTTAAAAACGCAGACCCACGCACTCTCTCGTGGTGAGTAGCAAAACCAAAACCGTCAGTTTGATTGTAAGTAGCAGCCCGAGAGGACCAAACTGTTGCTCGGGCGCTGCAATTTGCGCGCATCTGTCGGCTACTGCGCTTCACACACACCGTTCATGGGAAAGGGACGATTCATAGAAGTTAAACCAATCCGTTTAAGTACCCACAAAAAACGTCGTAGTTACTTATGAATCAATAAATATTTATAAACATAATTATTCACACTTCATTACATAGGAATTTGCAAAGAGTTTTTTTTATATGCAAAGAAAATTATTTTTACATTACATTTTACAAGAAAATATCGGACAAACTATCAAGCTGGATCTAGCCAGATAATCCGAACTGATCTTTTTCAAGTACATTTTCCATAAGATACAATAAGTAGTTTAACAGTCTAACGCTTAATATATGAATAAAATAAAAATAGAGGTTTTTTTATTGTAAGGGTCCGATATTCCAAGCCTTGTTAGATAAGATTCACAATTAGCTTCCAACACCAATTTCAAGTATCGCAGTGTATATTAGTAAAATAAATTACAGGTTTTATACATTTTAGATATATCGAGAACAAGCACATTCATAGGAAAAACGCTTTGTTAAGACTAGATACTGGGATCAATGTGTGCGTTGAACACTAATAAATTACCTAGCTAATAAAAAGAGGCTACTTTCCTCTTCCACAACGGTTGTGTCGCGTAGTAGCTCGGAATACTAGGGCGGCGGCCGCGGTGCGTTCTTTATTATACGCCATATCAATCTCAACAAACGTTGGTAACAGGTTCTTTAGTAACGCTATGAAGAATTCTATTTATAATTTTAGAGATAATCTATTCTTTACCTTTTTATTGCACCTGTAATTTTAATGTACTGTGTATGTATTTATTTAGCCGAATCATTTTGATAATTACTTATCACGATTTATTAATAAATATAGTTATACAGTATGTGCCAAGCAAAGTCTAATATAAGTGGTTTATATATGCATACTTTTAACCTAAACCTCTGACTATATTTTTGTAATAAGTTCGACGAATTAATTTACGATCTCATACATTGTGATATTATTTTCTTATTTAATATAATATGACGGTCTTGCTCCGAAAAGTTAATAATGTGACAGTATCCTTGCCTAAAGGGACTCTTTTTAATAATATATTTTAGTTATTAATTTTATTTTTAAGGTTTTTAGTTTTAGTTTTATTGTTCTAGTATTTATATATATAGTAATTATGTAATTAGATTATGTATTTTTCTAGTTAGATTTTCTTTAGATTTAAACATCAAGCAGTTACATGCTTTAATTTAATAAAAAAAATCCTTTAATTCAGTTTCTCTCTATATTACATTTTTTTGATAAACTTGTATCAAGTTTAATCAAATTACATTTCACATTTGACATTACAGAGCGCGGCCGTAAAAAAATCAATTTGCAACGACAAGAATATTGTTTCTTATGCCAGTGCCTGTTCAATTATTTATTAAAATATTATGATTGTAATACAGTTCAGTGAAGTTTAGCTCCCGATATTCATAATTCAAAACATTTACATCAAAATTAGTTATACTAAATCATGATAAAATTATACAAAACTGTTGTACTTCTTCCTACAAAAAAGTCATTTGTACAGCGAACGAAAGGTTTAAAACGAATAAGCAATTTAACAAATGTTTTTTTTAATATTTTTATAAGTGATTGCGGGTGATAAGTTTTATTTAACTCAACACAATGAAACGTAATTATGTACTTACAATGAAATAAATGAACGAATAAGTCAAACGTTGTACAGTCAACCTAGCCAACAACTAATAATATAATAATTTCAAAAATAGCATAATAAGAAATTAAGAATAAGATTATAAAGAGATAATAAAGATTGGAAATCGGGATGGAAAGTATTTAAGGCATAAAGGGCATTAATCGTACTGATTTGGTATGTAATTGTGGAGATTCTGTTAAATAGTACAACAGCAAGGAGAATAAATTGCTGAATAACTTTACCTAACACTTCTACAACTTTCGAACCTTAAACTAACATAATTCAGACTCCTTTAAGCAAACCATAAATGTTACTACATATTCTGATCATTGATTCAAAGATTTGTATGAAGCTAATGGCATAACACAATTTTCGCTATACACATAAGTATAAAATTGTTAAATCTATAACAGTAAAATCGAATTAAAAATAAATAACATTTAAATATTTATGTATAGCAAATAGTTATAATGTTAATTAACCGGCTGATTGACATAGAATGGCAGAAGATATAAATGTATTATTTTTAATACGATGAATAAGTGCTCAATTCTTTTACATATTTTCTTAACTCCAGTAGTAGTACAGGGAGGAAACACATGGAATTTTCAGTGTTTTTTTTAGTTTTATGTTTACATATATGATGGAATAAATATATAAATTCTCAATTTTTAATAAAAAAAATAGATAACATTTTTGAATAAACTTTACAGTCCACGCAAAAAAAATATACAGGGTGAAATTGAATGTTTCTATGAAACTTCGTGAGATTGTTGGGTTACGTGTATAGAGTATGCCTGATTTTTTCGGATTTTTTTGAAGTATATTTTTTCCATGTATTTATTTATAATTTGTGTATTTTTATGTCCTTTCCTCCTTTTGAGTAGTTATTCATTTTAAACAAACAAACTTACATATCCAGTGAAAAACAACTAATAAATAAGCACTTCTAAAAAACGGAAAAACATTAAAATTCCACCGCGGGTCAACGACCGACCGCGCCCGCCAGCCGTTGAGTGAGTAGGTACCTCTACACAGAGCTCAGCTGACTCCTTTGATTCCACACAATACAATAAAATCGTCTTAGATGCCTATAAAGGCATCAATAATGAAATTGAAATAATAAGCACAAATGTCATCTTCTCTTAAGCAGAGAAAAACTTTAAAAGTTAATAATAATATTGTCACGATTGGAAATAGGCAAATGTTAAACAAAAAGAAATACTTATTGCAGTTCAATACTTGAGTCAGAATGAAATTTATAACCAGGTATTCAAAAGTACTTACGAGACCGGCGATGTAGGTAGGTACAACGAGGAAAGAGGAACATATTCATTTTTTTCACTAGAACTTTTTATCAAATCAATCACACTGGTAGTACACAATTAGTTGTTTTTAATCAAAAAGTATTTACACTAGCAATAAAAAGAGACTTAAATTATTATCTGCAAAATTGTTGCTCTAAACCACCATTTTGCTGCAAACAAAGGTAGGCACGTTTGCGGACGTGTCTTTTCACCTTTTTTAAAATCACTATTCACTGCACAAAATGCAACTTCTATGGTTTACTTCAAACCTACTTCGTCACACTCGCGATAGCAGTACACCATCTCTAAATATTCTTGGTTCGTATACCGAGGCATAATGAAATTATCACAGTGTATGTCACTAAGTCAAAAGATGCGCATGCCCACGCGCGATTGATATACTTGCGACTGAGCTTTGCATGCAAGCAAAGCAAACCACCGCGTGCGGTTAAGAGGGGAGGTGGGCGGAATTCACATCATCAAAGACGCCGCAACCGGCGCTAACGCTGCGTTTCTTGCCAGCGTGCGGCGCGCCGCCCGCCCGTGCTTGCCGCAAAACAACATATTATTATGTGTGTGTGTGTGTGTGTGTGTGTGACTGTGACTGTGATTAAATGTGTTCGGAATTTCATGACGTGGGCAAATCAGACACGAGGAGTTCCTTTCTTCACTAAGCTCGTAAGTTATACCGATTTGCTCTGTATGATTTTTCCCAATTTTAAATAAGCCGTTTGTGCTTAAGTTTTAATTAAACGAGGCAACTAACATTAACAATAAAAAAGAAGTTCTTACACTAACAGACAGGCTTTACCGATTTAAAATCGTGACAGTCATATTAACTTTATAGGATTTTTAATTGCTCTAACAGAAGATTTATTTTATTGATTAATTACCTGTGCTTTATGAAATAATATTCAAAGGTATTGTGTATCAGTGAATAAATAATTATAATATAGCATCTAAGACTATTTTATTGTAATGTTTTTAAATAGTGTGGAATCAAAGCGGAGAGTAGGTAAGCGCCGAGTCATCTGTGCGTGTAGTAGGTACCTACACAGGCGGCCGCCGGTCGTCACCCCGGCGCGGCGGCCGGCGCTGATCTCGACTGGAGGCATTCATTAAGTTTCCGTTTTTTTAGGAGTGCTTATTTTAAGTTGCTTTATAACTTCTATGTAGACGTGTTTAAAATGAATAATTACTCATAAGGAAGAACTGACAAAAAAATAACCAAACAAAAAATTAAAAAAATCCGAAAAAAATCAGGCATACTCTATACACGTAACCCAACAATCTCACGAAGTTTCATAGAAACATTCAATTTCACCCTATATAATGTAATTAACTACTAGATTTGCGTTGGCCCCAAAGAAATATTTGAAGTAATCCCTCAGTATAGCCTCACGGCCTCGGTAACAAAATGGCCCGAGCATTTGCCCTGATATCGGAAGTTACTTTTTCGATTTAGGCCCTGAGACTAGTAAATATTTTCTTAATTTTACTAGTCTCAGGGCAAACAACTTTACTAATATGCAAAAGAATTGACTAAAATACTAGCGTAATATTTAAACATAACATTTTTTATTAGTGTACCCAACTTCATTCGGTAAGTAGTTTTTTTTGTATTACACAGATAAAACAGAACTTTCTATTTAACGAATAAGAAAATAACACAAATATAATGTATATGTCGACGTTTATAGCTGTAATTTGAAAAAAAAACACAAAGAGCAATAAAATATAACTCGAAAGTACGATAAATCAACGAATCAATTTGTTTGAGATATTTACTCAAGTTACACTATTTTGATGTTTACTAATTAATCGAAGTTGCATTATTCCACAATGTTAAAAATACATGTGTATTAAAAAATTGTAATATTCTCATTATGTTATATATACACAATATTGAATCAATAGCTACAGATAATACACAATATTGAATAGGGCCTAAGATTCACAGTCATTTCGATTGAGTGCATAAAAAAAATGAATTAAGTATATTTTATAGTAACGCTTTTTGTTATATGATAAAGGTGCTAGTACATGAATCACAAATTAGCATCTTACATACACATATAACGTGTTCCTAGCTCATTAATTATACAGATGTCCTCTGGACCGATTTCATACGTTGCAAATTCATGATGCGTATTCCTGCTGCTTTAGTAATGTGTCATGTACCAGCATCTCTGTAGGTAGGGTAGAAGTAGATAAGATATGTAATTAGAATATTTGCTAGTAACTTTAGTATCCTTGTGTACCTACCTTAAGTATTTACAGATTAATCCACCTTTGAACCGCATAGCGACACATGTCAATTCATTCGTTTAGTCAATTCTCGTTTAGTGTTTAACGATAGGTCATTTAAAATGAAATTTTGCTCTCGTTCGTTCAGTAATTGTCGTGACCAGATTGTTTACACCGATGGTGAGTGCTGGTTCAATACTAAATAAACTGTTTAGAATGAGACTGATAGAAAGAGAGTAACTATATTGTGAATTTGATTATTTTGTAGGTGTTATTGGACAATCGAAATGGTCCGCTTGATTTATAGAGTGAAGTCTTCCAAAATTATCAATCACGGTCATGACACCGATTATCTCGGATGGTAAATGAATATTGAACGTTTTTTTAACGTTATCATTCACTCGGGTACAATTTCTTACTGAAATAGGTACCA